ACCACCCATGTTAAAAAACCAAAACATTGATGGAACCTAGAAAGCACGTTCCCAATCAATAGCCTCTCCCTCCCCTACCAAAAAGGCCATTATCTTGAGTTTTATGGTTTTCTTTAATTTTTACTACAAAGCAAGCAAGCATCCCTAAACATTTTGCTTTGCCTGTATTTTTATCTTCATATAAATAAAATTACATTATATATATATTTTTTGTGTCTGAATTCTTACATTCAAAATTATGTTTATGTGATTTATCCTTGTACTGTAGCTGTAGTTCATTAGTGTTCATTGCTGAACAGCATTCAAATCATTGTATAAATATGCCATAATTTACTTATCCAGTTTCCTATAGAAGGTTTATTTTTGGCTATCATGAATTACGTTGTTATGAACATTCTTATCTCTTGGTGTACATGCAGTATACCATTTTGGCACAATCTAGTATACTTGATTATGCCAAGTTGCTTTCGTAAGTGAATGTGTCACTGAGAAGAAGAGATTTCCTATTCCATGTTCTCACCAACATATTAATTATCCCGGTGGGTGAGAAGAGGCAATTCATTGTGGTTATAATTTGTGCTTCCCTGATCACTGAAGAGAGAGCACCGCTTCATATGTTTATTGGTCTGTTGGATTTCCTCCTTTGAAAAATGCCTGTTTAAGTTTCTTACTTATTTTTAAAAATGATTTTAGAGTGTTTAGATATTCTGGATATGAGTTCTTAGTTGACTTCTGTAGTAACATATTCTCCCACTTTGACCTTGCCTTTTTTTTTTTTTAAACTCTTTTAATGGTGTTCTTTGAGGAACAGAAACTCTCCATTTTAATATAGTCAAATTTATCAATTTTTGAAACAATTACTTTTTGTGTCCTGCTAACAAAATCGTTCCCTACTACAAGGTTAAAATCATATTCTTATTAAGGAGTTTTATTGCTTTACCTTTCACATTTAAATCTTCAATTGTACCCAGAATTGATTTTGATATTTGGTGTGAAGTGTGGTCAAATATTCTTTTTCCCCCTATATGGATATCTAATTGTTTTAATATAATTATTGAAAAGATCTTCCTTTCTCAAACCTTCACAGTGCCATATTTGTCAGATGTTTTATGTGTGTGTGTGTGGGTCTGTTTCAGGGCTGCCTAATCTATTCCATTGGCCTAATTTTCTACCTTTGCACAAATACTATATCATTTTAATTACTTTATATGACATTTTAATATATTGTGATATTTTGTTGAGTAAATCCACCAATTTTTTTCTCCAGGAATGTCTTGGTATACTTGGTGCTTTACATTTGCACATAAATTATAGAATTAGTGTGTCAATTTTAAAAAATATAAACCCTTTGGGATTTTGACTGTAATTGCTTTGAAACCATAAATCAATTTGGGATAAATATTTTTATAATACTGAATTTTCTAACCAGTTAACATAGTATGTCCTTTCATTTATTTAGGTCTTCTTTAATTTTCTCTCAATAATGTTTTAGGCATAACATACCTTTTATTTTAATTTATTCCTAGGAATTTAATATTTTTGATGTTATGGTAAATGGCATTTTCTAACTTTATTTTTTGTTTGTTGCCATTTATACATTGATTCTACTAACACAAAATGCAGATTCTTGATTTACTCCATATATAATCATTCATCTTAATGACAGTTTAATTTCCTTTTCAATCCTTATACTCTTTATTTCCCTTATACATTTACTGCTCTAGCTAAGACCTCCAGTACAATGTTGAACAGAAGATGATAAAGAGCAGTCTTGCCTTGTTCCTAATCTCAGAGAGTATAATCTCAGCATTTCATCAATAAGTATGATGTTTGCAATAGGTTTTTGGTAGATATCCTTTATCAGACTAAGAAAATTCCCTTCTGTCCCCTATTTACTAAGAGTTTTGTTTTGAAACCATAATAGATGAATTTTTTTTTTAAGATTTTTTATTTTTTATTTTTTTATTGGGGAATTGGGGGATGGGAACAGCGCTGGGGAATTGGGGGAAG